TGTGTTTAGAACTGTAATCAGTATGATGAAGGGCAGGTTCATAAGTTGAATATTCCCTTTTGTCTTTATGATGCGGAAGAATCGGTCCTCTGTGTCTGTGTTGCCAAGAGGCAGTCAGATCTCTTGCTAGATCATCGGACACCCTCTTTATTAAACTGAAAACAAGGATTGTGATAAAAGTCATGCTGTGTGATTTATTATTATTACTTCTAATTCATCACACTCATGCGTAAATGAACGTGCAGGCTATTTCCAAGCAATGTTTTATTGTGAAGTTGGAATAAAATAAAGGGGTGTGTTTGTGTGGCACCACCACTTTTAGAATTCCTAAACCTCATGGTATGCATTATATCATACATTCATTTGAAATCATTCTACCTTCCCTTCTGATATAGTAAATGATGCATAGCTCATTAGTTAATTGTGCTTGCATTCAGCAAGCATTGAGGAGATTTTTGGCTGCTACTTGAAACTCCTGCAATTCTGATTCAGATGTGTGGAGAGTGGAACTCTCACATCCCAACATCCCATCCCATACGCGAGTGACTTGTCATGTTCTGTTCTGGAGTGCAAACTTTGTTCCAAGACAGTTACCTGCATCTTGCCCCTTGAGCTCAAAGGTGCTTCTACAAAAATTAAAGTTGCAGGGATCTTTGAAGAAAGCTTTTAATCCAAGATCAGAAGTGGGATGAGGATTGAGGGCTTTTTTCCCTTTTAAAAAAGTATGGAGGTAATGTATCCCTGGGGTGTGTGTGTGTCTCACAGTTATCTCTTCACTCCTGCTTTATTTGGGGGCACACTGTAGTTTGTGTTTTACTGATTCACCTGTTGGGTGTGGGGTACTGTGTAGAGTATCCTGTCTTTGATTAAATGGCCTATTCCATTCCAGTCCTGTGAACATATAAAGAAGGTGTGTGCTTTGTAGGATAAGTACCTAACATGTAGAAATCGAAAATACAATTTCTGCATCGGTCTCTTGGTGCCTTTTTATTTCTGATCTTGTCTGGAAGATCTATGGATTGTGTCTTCCTTTATGTTGGGCGATAAAGAGAACAGTGCTTACAAATAAATCACTGGTGATTCAGAGCTCTTGCTCCTGTGATGCGTACTTTATACCGTGTTAGATTTGAAATTAGCTAGCTATTACTGCTCAGGTACAAGATTCCTAAGTCATTGTTGATAGGTCTCCAAAATAATAAACTCTGTGTTTCCAAAGGCAGGACTGAGTGTTAAGAGACAGAATGAAGTGGAAAATGTCAATCCTCGTCAACAATCTCAGAATGCCTTTATAAAAACCAGTTGTTTTATCATATCTCAAAGCATCTTTAATTAAATTTTAAAATTGGGCTCAAGAGTCCCTGATCCCCCTAGGTTCGTGCATGACTTTAAACAGTCATGGCTTCCGTCAAAGTATCCTGGGAGCTGTAGTTTGTGAAGGGTGCAGAGAGTTGTTAGGAGACCCCGTTCCCTCTCAAACAGCTACAATTTTCAGAGTGGCTAAACAGTATTCCTTCTTTCCAAGGAACTCTGGGAATTGCAGCTTTGTGAGTAGAATAGGGGCTTCCTAACAACTCTCAGAACAAACTTGGTTTAAATGAAATTATGTTTGGTTTCCATTAAAAATTGGTTTCCATTAAAATTATTAGTAAAATTGTAGCTAACCTATTTCTTTTTCAACATGTAAATAAAACCAGCAGTTTTTAAATAATTTCATATTAAAAAACACCTCACATTTACATCACTTGGGTAGGCTTGCTTAAACAAAAATGGGTTTTATCAGGCATCAAAAACACTACAGTAATCACACCTGCCTAATATCACTGGACAGTGAGTCCAAAATGTTGGTGCTGTTACCTGAAGGGCGGATTCCTTGCAGGTGTGGAATGAACATTATGTGGTGCTCATAGTTGTGTATATGTAATATCTTCTATATTTTATGTGTAATATTTCATAACTCTATGGTGAGATGGCTTCCCTGGGTTAATATTGGGATTCATGGCTTAGCTTTCATTTCGGCACTTACATTGAATAACTCACTTAAATTCCATATAAATGGTTGAAGCTGTGAGTCCTATTCATATAACGTACATTGAGCTCATATTCGCCTTGCCCTCATCACAGACCTTTCAATGTATATTCAAAGCTTCACAAATCTTTGGTTGTTGGGGAACGGCTTAGTCATAATGACTCCATTTGACACCTGACCTCAGACTTTAGCTATTTGATCAGAAGTACCTGCAGGTATATAGAGTGTGTGTCTGAGTTGATTGTAACACATTTCCTTCCTTTGGATCAGAAGTGACTAGGCCAGGAAATTGCTGTAGCAGAAAGGAGGCGAGGAGAATGCTGTTAAGCTCTTGACTCTGGCTGCCTCAGAAATGTAATTGTTGTTGGTGGTTCTTCTGGGCTAGATAGCTTCATGCTAATACAGGCCTCTGTTTGCCCCTTGTTGGATGTGCTGAATTGTACATGTATATGCATGTACAGAACACAAACCTTTCCAAGAAAAATCAGTATAGGTGAATTGGTCCTAAGAATGATTGCACCATTGCCATTCAGAGGACATTGCGTCCAGTCCCTTTATCGTGAATCACTGATTCATGAGAATGATGTGAACCATGTTCAATAATTACCGTATTTTTCGCTCTATAAGATGCACCAGACCACAAGACGCACCTAGTTTTTGGAGGAGGAAAACAAGAAAAAAAAAATATTCTGAATCTCAGAAGGCAGAACAGCAAGAGGGATTGCAGAACAGCAAGAATCCCAGAAGCCAGAACAGCAAGAGGGATGCGCAGCGAAAGCAGCAATCCCTCTTGATGTTCTGGCTTCTGGGATAGCTGTGCAGCCTGCATTCGCTCCATAAGACACACACACATTTCCCCTTACTTTTTAGGAGGGAAAAAGTGAGTCTTATAGAGCAAAAAATACGGTAAATGAGAGAAAAAGAAACATAAATTGTTATTAGTCATTCAGTAAATTTCATGTGCCCTAGTTTGGCTGCTGCTCACCATCAGCTAATTGCTATGCAGATGTATGTATGGTGAGATGAGCAAGGATTTATGAGGTTAGATCCAGACTAAGTTCTTTGCACTCAGCTCCTGTAGTAATAGAGTTTTTAATGTAGAGATTAGTATTAAGAAGTTGGTAATTTAGGGGCTCGTGCTAAGGTAACATGACCCAGGCAGTTCCAAAGGCCTAAAAGTTGCTGCATAACTTTGTATTAGAGACTCTGAAAAATGCAATTGTTTCAAGCCATTCCACATTCCTCTCGTTTATTTGTGAATCCAGAATACAGTTACCATTGAAACCAATGGGACAAATATGACTCCTAGATTTCAGTGTGACCTAAGGGAAACTAATTTAGTTCAGGTCCAACCTACAGTGTTGATAGCATTGCTTAGTAGAGTGGACAGCATGCTGGGGCTGCTCTGCTCACCTGACTTCCATTGAGAGGGAAGGGGTGTGGTGCTAGAAAGGTCAGTGTGGTACAGCTGTGTTGGTGAAGCAAATCTGATGCTACTACTGGCATGTTTGCACTCCCCAGACCTCACTGCCACACCTCCCCCCCCCGTCCCAGTATGCTGCAGTGACTCAGCCAAACAAAGGTCAGGTGAGTGGCACAGCCCCAACACACCATCCACTGGTGCCCCTTAGTCATCTTTGCTGGTGGTGTTCTACTGCTTCCAGAAAGTCCTTTCTCTGCCCCATTTCGCATATCTTGAATTGCCCCTCCATGCTTTCAGTCCTATTCGATAACGTAGCTGTGGCTTCTTTCCTTTATGCTGCTTTACTAATGAATGAAAACCAGAGAGAAATCCGACAAGATAATTGATTTTTAGTTATTAGTCAATTTAGGGGAAAAACCCTAGTGGCTAAAGAGCAATTTTATCAAAAGCAGTTAATTAGTTTCTGCTAGACGATTCCATAGACAATGCCGACTTCACAATAAAACTAACCTCTGATAAATCTTCCTGGTTAAGAGAAGAACTGGTGGTTTTGAAAGAGATGGAATTAGAAGGTTCTGCACAGGAAAATTGCTAAGACACAGCCTAGTTCCACAGGTTGACTTCTTGAGATCTGGCTTCATTGAATATGAATTCTGAGAGCTTTGCTTGAGTAGGTTCCGGTGGCCATTCCTCGCTTTCCCATTTATTTGCTTGTATGTATTTATTGATCCCCTGAAATATATAGCAAACATTATAAAAAGGATTGTGCAGAGTACATAATAACAATTGTGATTAGTATCTGGGTGGGGCAATCTACATGTTTGATTGTGTAACTGGAAAAGTAGAAATCACAAACTGCAATGGATGAAAAAGCGGCCACACTTGTTGCTCTAGAGCAGTCATTCTCAACCTTGGGTTCCCAAATGAACTACAGCTCCCATCACCCCTGACCATTGGCTATGCTGGCTAGGAATGATGGAAATTGTAGTCCAACAACATCTAGGGACAAAAGGCTGAGAGACTGATCTAGAGGCATGACTCTCACTTTGAGTGCAAAGGCCCTTGATTCCATTCCCAGGCAAAGCCTTGTCTGAAGGAAAGGTGGGTTCTGTATTTTCAGAAAGGCTGTGCCAGTGGTAGAGCATAGTATATTCATACAAATGGTTCAGTCAGTGGTGTCTATAGATAGGGCTGGACCCTTCTCTTCTGCAACCCCAGAAACTCATCTCCAGTTAGTGTAGAGCATTCTTCCCAACCTGATGCATTTCATGAGTTTTGGACCATGACTCCTATAATCCATGATCTTTGGCCTTGTTGGTTGGCACTGATGAGAGTTCAAGGCCAGTTTTAACTGTCAGTTGTTTCACTTGGAATAAGGCAACTTCCTATGTACCAGAGACAACCAGTTCAGGTATTCCTTTTTACATGCAGTTCTAGGCAGGGAGCAAACCTGCTACAATGGAACAAGAGCAATGTCACAATAATTCTGAAAAGCTTTATTTTGAAACAAGACTGACCAAATGCCTGCATCTTTTTTCCCCCCTTCTGCAGCAAGGGACGAGAATGTAGCCACCTTCCGTGGTTCCGAATACCTTTGCTATGACCTCTCTCAGAACCCCATTCAGAGCAGCAGCGATGAGATCACACTCTCCTTCAAGACGTGGCAGCGCAATGGGCTTATCCTACACACGGGCAAGTCGGCCGATTACGTCAACTTGGCTCTGAAAGACGGCGCGGTCTCATTGATCATTAACCTGGGGTCCGGAGCCTTTGAGGCCATTGTGGAGCCAGTCAGTGGCAAATTTAATGACAACCATTGGCACGACGTTAAAGTGACGCGCAACCTGCGGCAGGTAATGGGGAAGGAGAGAGAATGGTGGGGAGGCTCCTCTCTACTGAATCAAAGGTTGGGGTTACAGGGCAACTGCTAGATAAACGGGGGCTCAGGGTGGGAACAGCCGAGCATTTGCATCCTAGCCTTTCACAGTAACTGGAAGGAAAACAAGTGTTCATTAATTTACTGTAACTTAGCCTCATTGCAATATCTTCATTTCCACTTAATAATTTTCTGTCTTTCCCCCCTCCCTTGATTTGATTTAACAATACGATTTTGTGACTTAACTTTACTTTCATCTCCCTTTTCCTTTGCTCTTTCCCCCTCCTTTTCTTTCTTTTTTATTATTTCCTTAATTACATTTCAATCTTATCAGTAATATTCTTGTTGCATTTAATTACAGTAGGAATGGAGACTGTTTTCTGCAGCTGCTTTATCCGCTCCCCTTTTTCTTCTTTTATGTCCTGTTAATTGATTTAACCATTTCCATAATGCCATTACTCAAATGCTGTAAGGACTCAGTCAACGTGGACTCTCTCTTGTGCAAAACCTGGTGCAACCAATGCAAGGATATTTCAAGAGGGCTTGTGCAGGAGAACCTCCCAGTGACCTGGGTCCATAAAAGCCTTTGTTTCTGCGTCTCCACCCTCTTTTTTTTAAGTTTTTTTTTTTTGTGTGCTAGTTACTTATTTTAACCTTACGCTCCTGACACTTAACAGGCCGTACTTCTTCCAGATCTCCCTATTTTCTTTGTTTTGGTTTTCGTTATGAATCTACACTGTTGCTTCTTTTCTCTCTGTCCACTTTTCCCCTCGAGGACTTCAAAAGACCTACTAATCAAAGCTACCATGGAAGAGGCTCTACAATGGTTGATGTTGCCCTTTTGCAACTTCACCTGTTGCTCTTCTAAGCAGACAGATCAGGTGATGTGCTCACTTAGACAGCTCTTTAATATCACAACTTCCTCATAAAATATAAATAAGAACTTTTAATAGGTAGGATTCATTTAAATAACCTTGCTTCTGAAAGCTGGTGAAATATATCAGGTCACGGGGTAATCTACATCATGACAAATGGAACTTTATGTTGTATATGTAAATCATCTTGATTAGGTAAATGCTGTGTATTATTTCTTTCAAATTAATTCTTTAAAGTGCTGGGTGGTTGTTGTTTTTAATGCAAACATTTAGACCGACACTTGTTGATGCAAGCAAAACATAACCTATTTATTTTGCTTGCTCATATGAATGTTAACACCAATCATTTTATGCAACTTTATGGACTGAAAAAGCTGCCTTCAGGGAACATTTATACTAATAGAAAGTAATAATCCTCATGCCTAAGGACATTAACTAATCACAGTCAGAGGCCAGGAAAATCTTTTTTCCCCTTGGGCATTGCCTTGCATAATTAGGTTCAATTTCCAGAGCCTTCCAGGATCAGCAGTCCTTAAGCACAATCAGCCACTGCGTTCTCATTTCTTTTTCAGAAACGTTAGATCTGTAGGTCCTAGGATGCCTTTTCCCCCGTGCATTGCAATATTCTTTATGCCACTTGAGATATACTTGAATGATTCAATGCTCCAAATGTAATAAATATAATTATCTTACCTGCAGAAACATTTAATGTGGAATATACTTACAGAAGAACAATCTGTAAAGCTGATTCACTTTTCATATTGCAATTCAAAATGAGCAGCAGCCCTGTTTTTAAAGAGAAAAAAAAATGAATAAGAGGATTTGTAATTGCCAATGAAAGCCTTTTCCTTTTTATGCTGTCCTCCTTGAATATAAGTAATTGAAAGCCATACCAGATGCAAGGAGTGGTTCAGCATCTATCAGTTAGCTCAGATCCACTACGAAATTTCAGTTACAGAACAAGAACAAGAACAAGAACAGATTCTGCATAGGGAACAAAATGCCTAGTCCCTCTCATCCACTCCCTTTTTACCAGTGATTTGAGATATGCTAAGATTTAGAATGAAAGCACAGAGTATGCCTGCTAGCAGTTTAAATATCCCTAGCTTCTGTAAAGATTTTACTCTCATTGTTCACTGCCAAGTGTTACACTTACTGGCAGGGAGTTCTACAAACAATATGTGTGTGTGTGTGTGTGTGTGTGTGATGTTGCTCTTTATTTACAGAAGAGCTGCAAATTAATTTTACTTCTCACCTTGCAGCATAATATAAAAGGATAAGCATTTTCCCCAGGCCACCCAAGATCTTATATAGTTCAGCCATATCTTCCCACCTCTCTCTCTTTTTCTCCCCTAAGTGTAGCAGCAAGTCGGGCAGTGTTGCTCACCTGGCTGCTCAATACCGAGTGTCGCTGCCAGTTACCTAGCGGGAGAGGGGGAGTGGCAGTGAGGCGCTTGGCACAGGTATTCTTGGGAAACCAAGCTGACTGCTATGGATCCCAAATGCACGCTAGCAAAATGCCCATTTTCTGGAAGGACAATGGAAGGTATGTGCACCTGGGAAGTGTCCCTTCCCTCTTCATTCCAGGGAGAGCCCTTCCACCCATTGTCAAGGATAAAGGCATGCTTGAGGGGTCCCATGTTTCCCCTGCTCCTGCCAGGGCCTCTCAGCTGGGTTTGGGAAGCTGTGCACCATTTAAAATGTCTGGGGCAGTTGAGCCAAGACGGGCATCAGGACCAGCGAGGCCTGGCAACTGCCCAAGGTTGTGGAATAGTGATGCCAGCCTTGGATCAAAGTCAGATTTTGTCCCCCTTGCAATTGTCATTCCCTGGTGCAGCACTTTTGTTATATGTTGATAGCTGACATTAGTTACTATGGAGGAAACTCGGGAGTTGTACTGAGGGACACTATCTGGGTGACAACTAGCCCAGCACTTTGTTGCCGGTGACCCAACTTCAGTCTAACTCCAGTCATTGAGAACCGAGGCCACTTATTTCTATCTGCATAGTTGCATCCTGAGTTCTATTTCTTGGTTTTCACTTGAGTGTTGAAAACCGGCTAATACATCTAGATAAAGGTGCTGTTCCAAAGCACACCAGTGCAAGCAGATAAATAGGCACCGCTGCGATGGGAAGGTAAACAGCATTTCAGCGTGCTCTGGCTTCAATCACGGTCTTCTGTGCGCCAGTAGCAGTTTAGTCATGCTGGTCACATGACCCAGACAGCTGTCTGTCGACAAATGCCAGCTCCCTCGACCTGAAAAGTGAGATGAGTGCCACACCCCATAGTCACCTTTGACTGGACTTAACTGTCCAGGGGTCCTTTACATTTTTACCTTTCACACTAGTATATGGGGGTTTGGTGGTGATCAAAATGCCCTTAGGATGATGCACACGTGTGTCATCTCCACCCCCAGTTTTGACCCTATCCAGTCCAGTTCTATGTCATCAAGTAGCAATGAGCAACTGTACCTCAGCTCTTATTGTCTCTGGCATGGCAGTGCATACCAATTCTGCTGCACCAATGTGGCAATTCACATTCACAACACTAGCAAAATGTCACTATATACTTTTAATCTCTTATTGACCATCAAAATGTTAGATTTGAGGCATGGCTTCCCTTTGCGACATTCATGTTTGCTTCCTCCTTAATAGGTAGTGTTTGCCTGCTCATTTAGTCACTCTCTCTCTCTTTAATGTATCCTCTGCCAATTTCCTCTGTACCAAAATTAGACACATTGGTGTGTAGATTCCTGATTACCTTTGCAACCTTTTAATTAGATTTGCTTATATTAGCTTCCTTCCAGTCCTCTGATATAAAGAATGATAGGAGAGATAAGGTACATACCAGAGCAAGTGATTCAGTCATTTCATGTTTGAGCTGTAAAAAATGCTGCTGCTCTAGTGACCAATTACTTTTTACTGTGGACATTTGTCCTCAAACTACTTCCATGCAGTTTTCAGGGTGTAATGATTCCATATATATATATATATATATATATATACATACACACACACACACACACACACACACACACACACACACTTGGAAGGCAGATACGGAGAGCTCTCTTGGACCTTTTTCAATCTCCGGAGAGACTGCAAAAGAGAGTCTGGGGGACAAATGAGTGTGCTGCTCCTCTGCAGCCTGCTGCTAATCCATTATGTTTAGATAAACCCTTCTTGGTTTTGCTTAGCACAGGCTTACATTTAACTTCCTACAATGTAGTTATTCTCTGGTTTTCCAAATCTGGATCACATTTCCACTTTTTCAAGAATGCCACACTTGAAAGGATACGTTTTCTACTCTAGCACTGCAAATCTTTTACTTCCACAGATCTGATGTATGTATGTGTAAGCAGAAATATAGCATGGTGTCAGGCTAAATTCTACTCAAAGTGACACCGGGCTGCTGGGTTGCAAATGAAAGCAATGTTTTGTTTGTTTCCACTGGATCACATGCATATGTAAATTTTATTCCTCATGCAGTGGATGGGCCTAATGATCCCATTTCATTCAGACATTCTCATCAGTCCAGTAAAGGACTGTCACCTCAAAATACAATTTTAAAATGTAACTTTATTTATCAATTTTTATCCATGTTGTTTGTTATTATTATTCTTTTTTGACATTTTCAGAATGGCTGCTCTCTGAAATTCTCTCGCCGCTTCATTGACCATTTTGGTTAATGGTGTATATTATTTTTTCTGAGGCTGGGTGAGAATCGGTCTTCAATGACAGGCAATGGCCAAAGGAAAATTAATCTTCTAGGCATGCCAGAGCTTCCTATTCAAAATGCTGGGTTCAAGGAGGATGACAATTAGGATTAGAAGTAGAGATCAGTTGTAAAATAAAATAAAAATAAAGATCTCCCCTTCAGCTTGTCAGACAGAGACAATATAGGCAATGCACAGTCACAGCAGAAGGGCATGGCACAACTCTTTCTGGACTGTACCACTTCAAACATCTTTTGAGAGATCAGTGCTTCACCATAAATAATAAACACCCTCTGCATTGCAAATTGGCACATCAAGGACATTGCTAGTCCAGAGCCTTTCTTCTTGATGTACTTAGTTTTCAGTGTGCAGGGAGATTTCTATGTTGAGCATTCAAACATGGTATCCCTGCATCTGCAGTCTGAAATGGTTCCCACGGCAAGAGTTCACATCACATGATTCTGCTGCATGTGTACATTGGTTTGTAGTTAACACCAAAGCATCACCCTTTACGGCTGAGCTTTTCTTGAGCAGTCGTTGCAGTTTCCATGGTTAATTTACCTTGTTAAACGTTTACTATTTTAAAATAGTAATATTTGCTAAAATATTAGCAAATGCGATACAATTTTTGTGGTAGGAATGGGATTTTTGATATTTTTCACCAGCACTTTCAGAAGAGGGTTAGTAATAGGGGTTGCTGTGTCCACCCTATTTAAACATTTAAACAGGCAGAGCAGGGCAGCACAAAAACTGGGATCTGTTCTTGTCTTGCTACTAACATTTCATAATCTTTGGTGACCCCTTTGCCCTGCTGCAATATTGGATGGTGTGGTGAGGCAGTGGCACTCATCTGAACTCTAGTTGGCTATGTCACTGCTGCTTACCAGAAGGTGGAGGAAGGGAGCAAGATGGGTATTGTGGAAAGGCCCTGGCAGTGCCCCTGTCTGGCATTCCCACCAGTACACCTGCACTGTGCCAACTTCACAGCTGCCTCTTGCTCTATCTCCTGGTAAGCAGTCACAGTGCGATCAACCAGAGGTCAGATGAGCATCACAGCCCTAATGCACCATCTGCAACTTCCCTGCTATAACCCTTTTCTTCATTTATGGAGGACAAGGATAATTGTGACACACCCTGCAGTACACATGGTGAAAGGCTTCCCTGAGTATTAATGACCATCATCCAAAGGGAAAGGGCATGATGGCATTGCAATTGCAGTTGTGCCATCTTATGTCCCAAACAGATATTGACTGAAAATCTAGATGCAACATACTGGGGCTGCTGTCTACTAAACAGATATGCAGTCATTTATTTTAAAAGCACGTGGGAGTCCACTTTGTAACTGGTGGACTTACTCCGGCATTTCCAGTGTGTTTCAGTTTCAGAATGGGAACAGAGGACAGCTTTTCTCCTCACCCTCTGTTGTCTCTGGCCGAAGGAGTTTGGCAGGTTTATGAAACACTGCAAAACCCTGTTAAGCAGCCTTGCACTTAGCAACTTACTTGGCAAACATAGGTGACCAGGAATTCCATGCAGGAGAGTCAATAGGCTAGCAGAGGAGATAAGGGACTCTCCATCTTTGCTCCTCTGCACCTTTTATTATTCTTCATCTCTCCATAAGCCTAGCAGTGAGCAATAGACATACTACCACCTTCTCTCATAAAAGGACATGTTAAATTCTACCCATCTTTCCCCCTTCTTCCCAAAATATCTGATGCAAGCAGTCACTATGCCTTCCACAATTAGGCAAGCTTCTCCCCACCCTTCTGATTACCGCAGGTGAGCTACACATCGTTTCTGTTAGTCCAACCTCTCATGTTCTGTATGTCTTTCCTGAGAGTCACCAGTTCAGCCGCTTTAAAGAAATCTGGAAATTGGGGGACGGGAAGGACCACCCCCAGGGAATCGTCAAGCAACAGCCTGCACCTGAGAGATATATTCGGTTGGTTAGAATAACTGAGCAGCGCTGGAGGGTAGCAGTGGCTGGAATAACTAGGAGAGAGAAATGGGCTTGGGTGGTGGGAGGAGGCAAGATTGGAATCGCTCATGCTGGTATATATTTATGCGGGGTTGAGAGATATGGATGGGGAGTACATTTTTGATGGGCTTTTGGAAAGTAAGTATTGTTTATATTTTATCATTTTGATCCAGTTTGGGATGGGTTGGGGGGGGGATGGAGTTGGAACGTTGATAAACTTTCTTGGGATGGGGTGGGCAGGAAGCAGCAAAAGGAGAATGGGAAGGGTAGGCAGCTCCCTTCCTCCTAACAATCTATATGGCATGGTTCCCCCCAGACAGTCCTGCTCATATTGTCCTCTTCTCACTCTGTGTGTGTCGGGCGCCCCAAGCCTTTTTTTGAAAGACTAACACTAGACCATTCATGCAATGTGTCATTTTTACTAACCGACTAATGTACTAACACCCTAACGACTCATCTTTGCTTTTAGTTATTTTAATTAACAATCGTTCTGTTCACAATTTTTTAATTTCCTTTCTTCCCCCCTTTTCCGCAAAGCACTCAGGCATTGGACACGCTATGGTAAACAAACTACATTGTCTGGTAGATATCATTCTTATTGTCTCTTTTTTTGGGTTTGCCGTGTGTTACCTCCCTCTACCTCTCCATCCCCCACCACCCTGTTTTTCCCCTGACCCTTTATACTTACCGTCCCCCTTTTCTTTTCTTTTTCTTTGATTTTGCTGTAAATACCCTTTCTTCCTCTTTTTTTCTTTTTTCTTTAAAAAACATTTTCTTTAAGAAAAAAATAACACCAAGAAGCAAACAAACAAATACAACAGTTCTGGAAATGGGGTTTGGTCATCTTTCTTCATTGGCTTCTTCACGTCATTCATTTCTCCCCCTAAAAATATATTTTTAACTCTGTTTCCCACCCCTCAGTATTTTTGCAAACTCCTCTTCTACCTATCTTCTCTCTCTTTCCTCCTGGTTTTCTTTCTTTTGCGCTCTCTCATTCTGCCTCTGCATTTCTTTTGGATTCTCTGAAGGTTTTTAGCTCAACAACCATGTCAGGGCCTATAGTTTGTTGTGGTGAGGCTGGTCTTTCCCTCCCCTCATCCTTTTGTTGTGGCGACAGCTGTTGTAGGCAAAACTGGCCGGAGCATTTCCTGTCCTTTCTGCTTCTAACCCTCTTCCTCCTGCCGGCTCCTCTCCATATATTTTCTCTCTTTCTCTCCCTTCAACCTTTCACTTGCCATGGCCAAAAGGAGCTCAGCCAGTTGTTTGTTTCAGCGCATTTTCCGCATGGCATGCCCACCTCCTCAGTCCCCACTCGCCATACCGGAAGCCTCAATCTCTTTCCCACCATCTCTTTTCCAAGCCACAAATAACCTATTAAAACAAAACACACCTCATTTTCACTCCCTTCCTCCCCACCCTGCTCCCCTTCTGTCTCCCTTCACCCACCATGTGTTATGGGGCTTGGGATATTTCAGGCTACTTCTTTCTTTTTGCCCTATACCCCATTTTCTGGTAAGGTCTGGATGGTTTTTCTTTTTAAGTTTAGTTTAGCCCTAACTGCATGCAAGTGTGAAAAAGCCCTCTCTTTCTCTTTCAGAATCTCTCTCTCTCTTCTTCTGAGCTTTGAATATCACTCGCATGGGTGTGTCAAAGTTTGGTGTGTGTGACTGTGTGTGGTGTGTGCATGTTGCCATTTTTTATTTTTTTGTTGTTCTCTCTCTCTTTCTCTCTCCCGTTTCTCTAATTTGCTGGTGTGTGGTTGACTTTTTTCTTTTTTATTATTACTATCTTTCTGTTAAATCATATTCTCTCTCTCTATCTCTCTCTCTCAGTTGCGGTCTTGGGTGGTGGGTGGTTGTCTCTGTAGGTCCATAGCATGCTCCTCCATAATGTATTGAAAGTGAGACCCCTCCCCTCCCCTCCCCTCCCTTCCTGAATGCATGACTATCACCATACCGTGTGAGCAAAAAAAGAAAGAAAGAAGCAAAATCAAATATATCAACTTCGTCTTCATTAGTGTCTTTACTAACAATCGTAACTAACAATAATCACTACAAATAACAGCTAATTAATCATTTTTTTAATAAAAAAATCAGCTCTCAGAAGCTCTCAGAGGAACAGTTCAATTTTCTGGCCTGGTTAAACAACGGGAGCCATTGCGGCAGATTAGAATAGCTCTTCTCAGCTTTAGCGCTATTGAACTAACAGCACAGGTGACTGAGGAACTGAAGGGACAGGGCAAAACAGCAGACCAGAAAATGGAACTGAGCTGCACCGAGTAAACAAACCTCAGCGAAACATGTGTGAAAAGTTGCACCAAAAGTAGGGGAGATTACTTGCTCTTTCTAAGAACTGTAAGGTCATTGCTGGGAATTTTGTTTTTTTCCCCTTTTTTCCTTTTTTTTTTTTGTCCATTGTGTCCTTCAAACAGGTGACAATCTCTGTGGATGGAATCCTCACCACCACGGGCTACACACAAGAGGACTATACCATGCTAGGCTCAGACGACTTCTTCTACGTAGGTGGGAGCCCCAGTACAGCTGATTTGCCTGGTTCGCCTATCAGCAATAACTTCATGGGCTGCCTCAAAGAGGTAAATGTTTCAAACTGTGGGCATTCTGTTTTTTGACAATTATGTACCCCAACCAAGTTTTCTGAAATCCCTTTACTGGATATTCTATGTACTAATCAAAAACTACTGTATTTCCCCAGGCTTTCCCCCTCATGTCACCAAAGCACTACCCTTTGCACAATAACAGGGGACATATATGCAGGTTTGGGGGAAGTGCACATTTTTCAGAAACATTAAAAAAAAACTGTTGGTGAAGAAGAACCTTAAGGGAAGAACTCCAAAAGTCATTTACTCAGTGCATACAAAATGTTTTTTTTTGGGGGGGGAAGGGCTGGGGATAATGAATAGAATATTCTTGAAAATGGTGTGACTAATTAGCTGCAAAATGTGGGCTCCATACTGCAACTCTTTATTGCAATCTCACATACAGTTGAACCTCTAGGCAGCAGTGACAGTGACATCTGGGCAGCAGTAGTGACAGTAATAAAACAAGCCACTATTACCATGTATTCCACAGCCAGGCCTCTGTCACTTTAGGTAATTGCAGATTCAGCAGCTAACATTCAAATACATCAGCATCTGGTGAAGGCAAAGCGGGCCTAATCCACATGCACATTTTGAGTTCAGGCTAGGGGGTGGCAAAGAGCAGATCTGACTGGAATGAAAGCAAAGAACGACAAACGAGACACTTGAAAAAGGCTGTTGGGTTTGTTGTTTTTAAGATGATCCCAATTTGTTAGCAACTGTTGTAGACTTTATGAGAGAAAGAAGGGTTGCAGACTGAACCACAGTCATGGACTGAAGGGGAAATACTGCACAAGTGTGGGAAACTTCTTGAGCTCCAGCTGCTGTTGGACTACAACTCCCATCAGCCCCAGTAAGCATGCTGAATGGCCAGAGATGATAGAAACTGTAGTTCAGAACTTCTTTACACCTGAAATAGTAGAACATCATAGCAGGGAGTTAAAAATGAAGCAGAAGCAGAGAAAAAGGACAGAGAAAAATGGTAAATGAAATAAAGGAGAACTAAAACAGGGTTTGGGATTTTTACCTGGTCTGGGGGCGACTACTGCACTAAATCTAAAGAAAAATTGTGTTTTTGCAGGCACTGAAAATAGTACAATGAAGGCACTTGCCTGATATCAATAGGCAGGGAGTTCCAAAGTGTAAGTGCTGCCACACTAAATGATTAAGTGCTTACAGATGCAGAATAGGTATTATGTGGCACAAGTAACAGTGCCCGTTCTACTGATTGAAGCAGACTAGTGGGTGTATATGGCGTAAGGCAATGTCTTAGGTATACTGGTCTCAAGGGCTTTTCTATACTAATAGCAACACCTAGTACATGGCCTGGTAGCAAATTGGCAACCAGTGCAGATTGCTGAGCCTAGGTGCTTTATTTACTGACAGGTATTAATCCTTATTGTTGGGGAGGTGTCCTAGTTGGACCAGCCTCTACTGCCTTTTTGTGTTTTTTGTAAAAAAAAACCCAAACAAAAACCCAACCCAGCCCCTTCTGGTAAGGTCAAGTTGCTCAGTACTCCATTAGCCCAGCGCTGGAAAGTGAAGTGCTAGGTAAGACAGTTGCAAATGCCCTATCTCCATAATATTCAATGCTTCTAGCCTCCTCCTCAGTCTTAAGCCCAGAGGCATTGGGGATGAAGAAGATAGCAACAGCTGTGGCCATCTGGCCTGCTACTTTTCCTTATGGTACTGTATGTATGTATGTATGTATGTATGTATGTATGTATTTAGGGATGCAAGCATCAGTCTCTGGCATTTCCTCTGCTGTGCCGGGTACTAATGCCAGGCCTGAAATCTGGCATATTTCACCTGAGGATTCTGGCCACAATAGCCCCCCTCCCCCCCCCAAAAAAAAACTGGAGTAAAACTAGCAAGGAGTAGAGTGGTTGAGATGGTAACTGGCGAACACAGTACAAAAAGAGAATTGGGATGCCGTAATTGCACCCATTAAATCCATGCCTCCTTTTCTGATTATTAGCCATTTCAGACAGAATGGTTTTTGCATCCACTCTCTGAACAGATGATTAACGGTTTAATCTCTAATAACTTTACGTTTTATGGAACCCTGCTAGGATTCTGCATCTGGTGAGCCAAGCTATTTAAAGCTGTGTTAATTCTGTTAATTGCTCTACGTTTATTTGGATTGCTGGCACCTGCGGGCTTCGGGATAATGTTTGGGGTTTATAGTCTCCCTGCTCCTTGCTGAGGAAAACGGAGAAGGACATTTTCCTTCAGCTAGAACCAATAACCTTGGCAGAAGGTCCTTACTAAAAAATGTTTGTCCTCAAGACTCCCTCTCCTACCACAGCTGAAAGCAATGATTTGTCACTCAGAGCACCGGATGTTGGCTTGGCTAGGGAGGCAGCCATCCTGTTTTGCATCCATTTGCTATTATAAAAAGGTGGTGGCCAGAGCATCAAGGAATGGTGCCAGAGCATTTGAAAGGCCGGTCAGTTTTCTCTTTGCATATCACACTCCCAAGCCAGCTGCCAGCACTCCATTTTCCCTATGCAAAGGGCCTGGGCACTTTGAAGACACAGATGTGTGTGCATGTGTTGCGGGGAAGCTTTTGAGTAATTTTTGAACCCAAACTGGGAAGAAGCAAAAGCATTAATTGCAAAGCAAATTAAGTCCATTAGATGTTTTTGTGCGTGCCAGTTGCCTGAAATTGGGGGCAGGGGGACTGTATAAACTAGCGAAGCTGTGCTAAAACCACTGCTGAGTAGAATATCTTAAAGGGGCTGAAATGGTCCATTGAGTGTGTGTCCCCCTCCTTTTTCCCTGATCAGACTCAAGGCATCTCTCAAATAAAAACAAGAATGGCTAAAAACATAAGAAAAACAATAATTAAAAAACAATTAAACATTAATAGAATTAAAACTACATGCATATATAAGATCTGTTTAAGACAAAACAACACAGCACTAGTGCTTTCATTAAAAACAGTCAGTTTCCAAGCACTGGAACAAGAAGGTCTTCGCCTGCTGGCAGGAGGATAACAAGGAGAAAGCCAATCTAGCTTCTTCAGGAAGGGAGTTCCAGAGTCTGGGAGCAGCCACCAAGAAGACCCTCATTTTATTTTATTTTATTTTATTTTATTTTATTTTAATATTTTTATTAAGTACAAATTAGAAAACATACATATTCACAACAAAAGAAAATACAAAATAAAAAGAAAATACATCTAACCAAGGGGAAAAAATTAGGGAATATTTTGTGTCTTTTCATATTTACAGTTATTTATACCTCTATAAAATGCTATTCACAATAAAGCAGTAAAATGAAAGATAAGATATCAGAAAAAAGGAAAAAAGAACAAAGAAAGAATAAAGAAGTAAGAGAAAAAGATCATAAGTGAAAGTTTTTAAAAGTAGATAAGTACTCACGATACATAGCCATTTCCCATCTATATTTATATTCAATTGTATAATTTCATCTTGTCCTTATCTACCTTAAATAAATTGGGTTTTCTCTCTTTTTTTTCTTAAAAGACTTCCACTGTTTACCTCACGCGTTTTTAATAATCCGTTTGTCAGAAGACCCTCATTTTAAAATGGTGGCATGAACATCTTCTTAGGAATGAAATCCAGTAGGGTTGTTTATTATTATTATTTACTTATGGAAACTTTCTCTTCTGAGATGATCACAGGAGCCAACTCCTAGGGGGCCAAGGGGTCTTCGCTCCACCCAATAAAACATTTGAGCCCCCCCCCCCCAGTTGATGAGCATTGCCATTCAATTGTGTGCATGCACTGCGTCGTGTGATTATGTGGGGTGGGGTTTATCTGTCCGTCCCCCATATTTCATTCAAGTTGGCACCCCTGGAGATGACCCATTAGTAATGGGCTTCCACCATTTGTTCCTGATAGTTGATGTATCTTTGTGAAGGACTTCATACAGTTATAGCAAATAGAGAGGTATGCTAGCTCCATCTACAGAAGGTAGGGGCTTCTGGATCATGAATAAAGATCTGAGATGAAGGCAAGTTTGTAATTATACAAAGACATCAAGAAGACTGCAAGAAAGTTAACTTGTCATGAGGTCTGGCTCATATGACATGCTAAGGCAAACTGTGGCTTAGTGAGACCACATGAGTGGAAAGGACCATGCAGTTGACTCCCAGCCCTTCTTGCTGCTAAACCTTGACTGTGCTGAGCTAAGCTCAGAGACCAGTTGCTGGGAATCACAAGTGGAGAGAGTGCTGATGTACTCATGTCCAGCTTGCAGGCTTCCCACAAGTATCTGGTGAGCTGGTATAAGAGCAGGATGCTGGACTAGGTAGGCCATTGGCCTGGTCCACCTGGGCTCTTCTTAATATGTTAAAAGCTCAGATTTGGCTTAGTGTCTTGTCCAAACTGGGATTTGTGGCTAAGCTTTTTCCACAAAAAACACAAGCTGTAGCCAAGAACAAACCTTGGTTTGACTTAAGGCTCCTCTGCACATCCTTTCCTAAAGTCCCATCTTCCCACGTCTATTTTATGTGTTATTATCAGTGGAACCATGCCGTAGCAAGTTGGCAACTGATCTCACGTTCCATTATAACAGGACCATCCACCTTGCTAATTTGTTAATTGGATCTAGTGTCCTGTTGCTCATATTGAAAATTGGTAGAAGTAAGGAAAGCACTTGCACTCTGCTTGCTTCTGCTGAGATAAGTAGTTGTTCACATTTGACTGTACAAAATATCAAAACAAACACTGTCATTTCCCAAGTTTTCTGAGGTCCTTAGGTGAAACCCTGGCTAGGCCCACGTCCTTCTGGTCAGTGTCATCACTGCCCCTGCTTCTCACCTTCCTCTGTAGTCAATTCACTCAGCTGCCTAGAGAGTGACAGTGAGTCAAGCAGAAGCTTTTACTTCCTCTCATTCTTAGCGCTGCTATGTCATGCCATGTGGACAGGTGACCAGGGAGGAGTGCCAAGCAGTAAGACGGGCCAAGCGACTCCTAGGATCTGGCACTGACCTCTCCTGCTGAGCACTGGAAAAAAGAAGCAGCCCT